GCGCACCCCCATTAGAAAAAACCCCCCCAAAAAAAAAAAAAATTTAAAAAAGAGAGCTGTCTATATGTTGGTTACAAGAAATTCACCTCATAGACAAAATGACAAATGTAGACTTGCAGTGAAGGGCTGGAAAAAGATATTTCAAAAGATGGGAATCAAAAGGAGGCTGGAGTTCCAATACTGATATCAGACAGAAAATACTTTTAAGAAGAGACAAAGAAAGTCACTATAGAGTACTAAAAGGGCTAATTCACTTAAGAAGATATAACACTTATAAATGTCTATGCACCCAACATGAAACCACCCAATACGGAAAGGACTGCTAGATATAAAGGGAGAGATAGACTGCAACACACTAATTGGAGATCTCAACTTCCCGCTGTCTCCTTTGGACAGATCATTTAGGCAAAAATAAGCAAAGAGATACATGATCTAAACAATATCATAAACAAAATAATCTTAACAGATACCTATAGAACTTCCCACCAAAAAATAACAACATATGTTTTTTTCTCACTCTTGTGTGGTGTGTTTTTGAAGATAGACCACATAAATAGAGCAGAAAATAAACCTCACAAATTCAAAAATAGAGAAACAATACCCAGCATCTTTTCCAACCACAATGGAATTAAAATTAACTGTGTGAGAAATAGTAAATACACAAATACATGGAAACTAAACAACCTTCTCCTGAATGACTTTGCAATCACTGAAGAAATTAAGATTGAAATAAAAATATTAAATTAAAACAATGATAAATGGCACATGAGTTTTTATAACTTATGGGACACAGTGAGGAGTCACACCACAGAGTGCGCGGGAATGGGGTCGGGCTGAGCCGCCGGCTGGCCCAGGGCAACGCTGCCACCGATGGAGGGGCCCCGAGAAGGTGATGCTGGAGGGGCCTCGAGAAGGTGCTGTGCTTCCTAGCGGAGCATCGGGGCCAGGCCAGCAGGCCAAGCTGGTGTAGCACTTCAGGTACGACCTGCGGCAAGCCTAAGCAGCGCCCTCTTTTTTTTTTTTTTTTTTTTGAGGTTTTTGCTTTAGGGCACCTGCGCTCGCTCGCCAGACAGACAGAGAGAGACATAGAGACA